ACCAGGGCTGCACAGATATTTCCAATTTTCAATTTCAAAATGTATAAATAGCAGGATGGATAAATTCATTTTCATCTCCAAACGTACATACATTAACTCCACAATCGTTAAAATTAACGCCCGAAAAAAAGGGACGAGTACGGTCACGACTTTAGCCAATATACGGGTTTGTCTAACGTCTCGAAGAGTTTATGGGGAGATGAAAAATTACGATGCGGTGTGCTTGGCGTGCGTGGAATGTCTATTTATTATACCAATTGACATTAAAATTCCATCGAGTTGAATGTCAGTACATGAAAAACCGGACCGAAAAACGTCCTATGTAAACAATAATGGTATAAGAATATTCTAGCATAAAAACTGTGTACTCTTCTGCATTTTGCATGGTTACCGAAAACTTTTTCTCTGTATTTACTAGGCTGTGTGCGCTATATCCGGCCAAATAACCCCCAGTAACCAGTACCGTCACCAAAATCAATTTAAATAACAAGGAACCGTGTACCGCCACGCGCTGTTAGTTTTCTTAATCGTAATCTTAAGGCAAACGTTCACAGACGCAAAGGCAGTACATGCCTTTGTGGATATTCGCAAGTATATTTGTTTCATAATCTTCATAAATAGCAATTTAGTCGAGTTGGAACTTAGAAATTGTTGCGTAAACTCGTTTAGACAATAAATTAAAGCATTCATAAAATGAAGGACTCTCCCTGTATCGAGGGGGGAGAGGGGAGGGGATAAATCAATTTCGCCGTTTAAACGCGTTAATTTCTCTCGGAGTTTAATTAACGACAACGGTCCAATGAATTATTCGAGATTACGTTTGTTACCGTCTTAAATAACACAAATAGCCTCGTCACCTACTCGCGATTTGTGAGAAAGGTATTCCCGTAATTTCTTAGAAGAGCGTTATTTATAATAGACTATCTAACCCTAGTAGATGGCACTTGGCAGGGCATGGAAATGCATTAATCAACACGAATATAGTTATAATGTACGCATAATGATCTGAAATTATCGCTGTTATCGATCAGTTTAACTTCAAAACACAAAATCTAGATATTAGTTACTCACTAGTTACTAGCTAGAAGCAACTCATCCCTTTTTTTGTGATGTTTTTTTAACATTGAGAAAATAAGTTAGAAACTTAGTGGTTGTTTACTTGACTATATTTTATACTACTACGTTTTTCCCTACAGAGCAAATTGAAAATGGTAAGAATATGCCTATTATTCGCTTCACTGAGTAGCCATTGTAAATGACATCTTAATTAAGTTATTAATTGAGTCAGGTTTAATTAATTTTGTACAACTTACGCCCGGTCTCTGAATTGTTCAGAATGATCAGTTCAACGAGTTTAATCATCCTTTTGACAACTCTGTGTTAACGAATGGGCAGGCTCGTCCAGGTAAGTACCACGACCTCACAGAAGAGCGGCGTGAAGCGAAAGTATAATGCTTTCGTGTTACGTTTGGTGAGTGAGGTAGCTAGAGCCCAATTTTCAAAAGGTTGTCAACGCATCTGCAACCTTCGAGTGTAGTGCCATTTGACAACTGATTAGTTAATTTCTACGATGATCAGTGTTTCAGAACCGGGCGTAAGCTTTACAAATTACAATTCTATAAAACTCACTTCATAGAATAGAAAATTAAACACATAAACTACGGTTTATGGGGGTATAAAAACTTCAATATATTGATGGGAGAACACGCAACGTACTCCGCTACAATATTGATTGGAATTTATTTTTGGAGTTTTACTCAAAGCTCCGACCCCAAAACCCTTTATTTGCATGCCTCAACGTACCTACCTACATCTCTCTTTTCACCCCAGGGTCATGAAAGACCTGCGATATTATTGAAATGGTTCCTTTATGCAAAGATGTTTCTTTCGTTCATATTCTTAAATAAATTAAAAGAGCTGGGAAAACTCTTCTTGAAGTCAACATAATCGAAAACTTATAACTTCTACAAAAAAAAGATACAACTTCTATAATTTATAATATTTTTCTACCTCGCCCTTTAATTTAGTTTTGTCCCTTCATAACGATAATGCTTCGTAATTCTTATTAGATACTCAATTTAAAAGGTTCTTAAATTATATTATGTTTTCCATCTTCTAAAAGCTTTAACTGTCGTCTCTCAACATCGAAGGTCAAATTTGGCTTTAGTAAGGTTAAGTAAGGATTAAAAGGATAAGAACCTTTTAATCCTTACATAACCTTACTAATATTATAAATGTGAAAGTTTGTATGTACAGACGGATGTTTGTTACTCTTTCACGCAAATACTACTGAATGGATTTTAATGAAACTTTACAATAATATAGCTTATATATCAGAATAAGACATAGGCTATAATTTATATACATATTTTATGTATATCTGTCTTTCTGTCTTTCTGTCTTAATGTTGCTTAATGTACCTTCAGCCTATTCTACGCAGACGTAGTCGCGAGCAGCAGCTAGTGTACGAATACGTAAAACGGATTAGGTTACCACTACATAGTATAAAACAAGCCAAGTATAAAACAAAATCGTCCCGCTGTCTGTCTGTCCCTATGCATGCTTAGATCTTTAAAAGTGCGAAACGGATGCGGTTTCTTTTACTAGATAGAGTGATTCAAGAGGAAGTTTTATATGTATAATACATTACACCCGAGCGAAACTGGGGCGGGTCGCTAGTTCAATAATAATTATCTGTCAAGAGGATAGATAATAAATGTGCGAAACCGTGCATATTCTGTATATGATTAATAGCGGACATAAAACTTGTTATGATGATGTGCCGATCGATGTTATTATCTCAATAATGTAACCATGGCACTAAAATCTTTTAGAATTGGGACGGTTTTGCAACTACCTATTGCCACAGCTGCGGTGCTCATCGCAGGTCGTTGGAAGTAATTTTGAATCAATAACGTGACAGCTGCATGACAGAACGTGTTTTTGCAGCTGTCTTTACAGCAAAATAATGCAGGCACTTTAATATTCAGGGTGAGCAGAGATGTCTGATGATTTTAAAAAACAGCAGCTGTTGAGTTTCTTGCCGGTCTCTTCTCAACAGAAACTGCTTTCCGAACTGGTGGTACCTTACGAACATAATATATATTTTGATGTAAATTTTGAATAAATATATTTTTGATATGATTACATTTGATCTAATGCTATCTTCCTTTCGCTGATCTAAGTACATCCCACATTATAATGCTTTCGACAGTATATTATACACAAATGGATATTTGTGAATAATATACTCTCGAACAGTGTTGTTTATTCATTGCTCTTCTAAGAAATACCAAAAACAGAAAATTACATAATATATAGCGATTCAACGTACAATTATGTCACAGCAGATTACGACTGATCAAGAGTTAGAAAGTTAACTTTTACTGTATCTACAGCGTCCATAGTGATTATTTATTTTAAGTTTTCTTCGTTTTTAAACAAGACTGTAAAACAGAAATTAAAGAAAACAGAATGAAAACAATTCAAAAGCCTAAATTTCGATATATTTCCATAAATTACTATCTAAGTACTCTTCAAATTTAATGTCCGTATGTTATTACATACCAATAGGTGATTACAAAATGCATTGCGGCTTTAATAAAGGCCTACCTATTTCAGATCCGCAACCGCTATTGTGACTATTCAAATAACTAAATAAAGGTCTTGATGCAACATTTACGCGCAGTCCGACAAAATATCCCAGATTATTAACAATGGTTCCTCAATGGCTAGTAATATATCTCATAATATGTAAACATCGCGAATTAAAGCACCTTTAAAAGTTTCAAGGCACATTGTCAAAATGTGCGTTGAAACTTTTAAAATTCATATCATGTCAGTTGTTACAAACTCCGTGGCGTAGTTGGCAAGGTATTGGCTTCGGCGTCGAGGGTCGTGGGTTCGATTCCCACACGGGACAACTATTTGTGTGACCCACAGATAAATTGTTACGAATCTGGGTGTTTGTCCGCGTGATATTTATGTTTGTAGAACGTCCTTACAACACAGGATAAGGATATCCTAAATTAAGGGCAATTCTGCTGACGTTAGAATTTTTTTATTTTCCTGTTTTCGCTCTGCATACCGCAAAGGCTTAATAGATTCCAATTAGAAATAAAGCTTTTAAGCCATCATTTTTATTCTAATTAAACTGAACTAAGATTTATATTTAATTCTATTTTAAATGGACCGCATAAGCTCGTTCGGCACACTTTTATATTCATTGTACTGGAGCAATCTGGTGCAATAGATTCTATGGTGTCGTGGTAAAGCTACCGACGTAACCTTGAATTTTGTCTAGTACATTGTAAAGGTAATATATCCGCAAAGACAGTAGATTTACAAGAGGTAGGACCGCTTTTACTTTTCAAATCGCTAGCAACTTATCAGCAACCTGGTCTAGTCAAAGAAAGTAATGGCCACCGTGGTTACATGCGCTTGTGGTTTGTCACCTCCTATACAAATTAATAGAATTTCAATTGTAATAAAGTACTTACTGTATTCATACATAAAATATTAATATTTATTATCATTTGGAAGAACAAAGAGGGTTTGCTACAGCTACTATCGCAAGCTATGCATATAACTTGTTGACCTAAAAGCCCGAAACGGGGACAGCTCTTTCGGTGCAAGTTAATATTATGCAAAAGTTTTTAAGAAGTCATAGTGATTTTGAAGCAAAAGTCGATCAAATGATGCCGAGTTAAACGGAAACTAACTATTGAAAATTGATAAGATTAATATATAGAGGGCAGATGTTACTTTGCTTCTAAAACAACCGTACCTTACACTTTACCCACTCATTTCGATGTCGTCCGTCAATCTGCGTTACTGAGTTTCGAAGCAGAGGCCTGAAATCGCCTTCTCATCCATGGAATAACCAAAGCTTTCATGGAGAACTTGAAATCGTTCAAAATTAACTTATTTTGAATCTTAAATTTGAACAAATTAAACAATATAATAAGAAATTGCAGTTTGAACAAAAACTTTAACAGAGCATGTCGAAACACCTTTTCCAGTTTCTGGCTCACGGATCTGTTTGCGAGGAAAACGCTCGTGCGAGACGTGTACGCTCGTGTGAAAAATTCTGAACTTGCATTTGATGCAAGCAACTGAATCTAGTCACAAAGGAAATTATATCTTAACCCTTCTAAACGTCACAGGCGTCGTTGTTATAAAACGTCTAGAAGTTCCATGATAAATTTAAAACTATAAGATCAATAATTGACATTATTAGTATAAAACTCAGTCTTATGTGACTCGTCAACTCTATAGAGTTGACGAGTCACGAGACTGAGTTTTTATCTGGAAAAAACGATAATCAAGAAAATTGATTGTTTATAAAATTGTAAGAAAAATGCTTATAATTCAATATAAAGTTACAAAAGCAGCTTTTCACAAATTTGATTTTTGTTCAATAATATCTCGATAATGTAATAGAATCGGTCTTTTAATAATCATAATCATTGTTGTCGAGATTATTATAACAGGGTATATTTTTAAGATCAAGTCATAATAGAAGAACAGCGTCAAAACTGTTAACTCCGATAAAAATTTTAATGGGAATTCCTGTCTTAAGTGGTCTTGCCTGTGTTAACATCAGTATCGTTAATCATCATCATCAGAGTTTTTTTTGCTTCTGTTTTGTTTATATTTCTTTTCCTATTCAAAATCCAGCTATTTTGAAAATTAGTACTTCATTTAAAAAAATCTTATTATTTCTTTTTATTATTTGAGTTGTAAAGAGCAGAAAATAAACATACTCGAAGGTGTGAGAGTCGAAAATTTATTTATTTTACTGATTTTATATTTTTGTCTCTCTTGATTTATATTTTTGTCTCATTAAATTTAAAATTTAATAAAGAAAAGTTTAAAACAAAAATACGGTTTAGGTATATGTAGAAAATCAAAATAACTTTATAAATTTAATAAGATAAAAATCTTCTCTTTATTATTTCTTCCCTATTAATAGATTTTCACTTTCTACAATTGCGCAAATCGCCTAAGTGTTTTCTCTTGTTTCAGGTATAAGTGTAAAGGGGCGTCCAAATAGATACTGTGATACAATGGAATCGAATTATTGAAGATGTGCAATGAAATATTGCAGAAAAATCATGTAACGGAGACAGTGAAGAAGAAAAAGATGGGAGCGGAACTGTTACGGTGGAAATCAAAGTCGGTAGATACGAAAATAATATATTAAGTGTTAAACAAGCTAAAATGCACTTTGGAAGCAGTTTACGGTTCAGACGTGCGGCAGCGTGTGGTGATGGAGAAATTGGAACCAAAGTGAATCACGTGAGATAAGGTAAAGAGAAAGCTTCAGGCGATAGTTGTGTTTATTTTCACGACTCATGTTTTTCTATACTTTAATTTCAATTCGTTTGTTCTTTGCGATAATTTAAGTCCTTATTAATTACTAGCTGATCCGGCAAACGTTGTGAAAATTCGTTCTTAGCTGACCTTTACTCGGCGAAAGGAATATTCCTACCAAATTTCAAGTCTCTACGCTTTATGCTTCCAGAGTTATCATGATGAGTCAATTATCGGTGGAAATCTCTTATATATACATATATATATAAATATATATATATATATATATATATATATATATATATATATATATATATAAAACATATAAATTCTAAAATCCATATATATATATATATATATATATGGATTTTAGAATTCATTAGAATGCTCAGTAAACATCAGTAGTCTAGTAACTACTTCAAAGTCATTGATTGTTTGTTTAATAAAATGCTATCTGGACCACGCGCCCCTGTTCAGCGCATATATCAATATGTCGGCTGTCGACATAGTATTTACACGGGCAATGACATTTACGTGCGGAATAATGCCTCACGAGGGATGCAATAAATCTTGATTAGAAGTTCATAACTGTTTAAGAACATTACAACTAATTGTCAGAAAGTCACTTTTGAAATGTATACCTGATTTAAGCATAAATTGGATATAGCGGCTTGTATAGACATATTGTATATTTTAATTAGTCATGTTTTCGCCAGGAAAATAATGCTATTATTTCAATTTGTGTGTATTGGAAAACATCTAATTAAGAGCAGGTAAAAAGCAACACTAAGCTATTTTATTGGCCTAGTTCTATTTCGAAGTGAGTTTTCCCTTGTTGACGGAACCGTGCGTTTGCAGACCGCCCCTTATGGATCAAGTAAACGTGTCACGCAACGAGACAGGCAACGCGACGGCCACAGACGAGGATGAGTGGCCCCAAGTGGTCATGTTTAAGCTGCGCACGGCGGTGCTCCTGCTTATTGTCATCATGGCGGTGCTCGGCAATCTGCTCGTTATCGTCAGTGTCATGAGGCACAGGTTTGTTTGGCCCGTAATCGATGTAGGGCGAACCATGTAACTGGTCTACGCTATTCTCCCTAAGGATCCAGCTTTGTGAGCGATGATTTATTTTCGGCTGTCAGAATAGAATTTTAGTTTTCTCTCGGTATTTTTTACATCAAATTTATTCATCAGAAAAAAATAGTACCTAGAATATTAGATTGGTTTTGCTGTCGCAGTTTTTTTTGGTGTAGCCTTTGGTGTCATCTGATGTCACGCAGTTACCGCTAGCCATCAATATTCCCAACAACTGTAGGATTGTAATTGATTTGCCACCTTAAATAAAAAAAAATTGAGTCCTTAAAATATATGGGAACCCAATTTCTTGGTTTTCGTTTAAAGGGATACTCTTTTTTTTTTTTGTTAATGAAATAGTTTTTGATGCTATTGACTGACTTGAAGTTTAATATTTAAAAAAAAACCAACATAAGATACACGCAATGTGATCGTGTATACTAAGTTATGGGCGAAAAGCTCTTCTTTACGACACGCTCTAGGATGAAGCTATAAGAATGCAGAACAGAGAAATGTACCTTTAAAAAACCCTATTGTCTTCTTAATGAATACAATCGTTAGACGCAAAGTAAAAACCGTTGTGTGTAAAGAGCAGACTGGAGACTCTTTGTTTTCAATAAAAACAGATTTGTTGTTCACGTTGCTTTTAGTTACGACAACCTTGGTAGTGGTAAAAATATTTTTACTACAAATTGGTATTTCATTGTCATTTTTGTTGAATTTTTTTATGTAAATTACAATTATCATTATTTTTAAGTTATAAATATAGTGTTATAAATATGTTTTCATATTAAAACAATAAGATATAAAAAAAATTGAATATATTATTGAATAATGATATCCAAAAGGTGACTAAATAATTGGAGCAGTTAGTCATTTTAAACACCTTTGAAAATTCTCTATAATGGTAGCTAATAAATAACATTCCATAATAAGTGCAAATTATTATAAACTTTATAAAGTACTCAAGAAACTGTTGTCGTACAAAATAAATGGCACAGAATTGAATATTTCTGCAACAGCTCATATGCATATAAATAATTCTTATTTGAAAGTGTTGGCATACTATCGTGTTGCCAAGTCTTTGTAAAAATGCAAAAAAAATATAAAGTTTATAGGTAGATGTTGAAATTTGTGATGATATCTGAAGCTAGACCGCGTAGGCGCGCTACATTGAAGACACGGATGGTTTATTCGATAATAATATCTGTTGAACTGGCTTATAAAGTTTCGTGTTTATTGTAGCACCAAAATGATATATTATTATATACATAAAAAATCTTATAACACGATTAAACGAATTCAGGCAAAAAGGATATCACTTAAATTTAAAAAAAAATAATAAAATATATTATTCGACAAAGATTTTCCACTGCTCCTTTGATTATTTTTAAAGCCTGTTTAATTTTCGCTTTCAGAATGAATCATTCAAGTAAATCCGTGATCAAAGGCTGTTATTATAGAATATCTTTTGCAGGAAACTCCGTGTCATAACCAACTACTTCGTCGTGTCCCTCGCGTTCGCCGACATTCTCGTCGCTATGGTTGTGATGCCCTTCAACTTCAGCGTGCAATTCTACAACGAGTGGATCTTCGGGACGGTTATCTGCGACTTGTGGAACTCCTCCGATGTCTACTTCACATCGACCTCCATTCTGCACCTCTGCTGCATCTCCGTGGACCGATATTACGCCATCGTTAAACCCCTGAAGTATCCTATAAAGATGACGAAGAAGGTTAGTTGACTTTTGCTCTGAATGTTAAGAAAATATTATATCACTTATTTTGTCTTGAATTTTACTCTTAAAAGCATTTTTTACAACATACAAAGCAATCCACAACGAACACATTACTGCTAAAATAACCTTTTTTTTTTTGTTATTCCTCAAATGTCACAATGTTTTCCAGCACTGCTGGTAAGTGCATATCAAATTAGGTTCTATAATTTTAAGAAAACATTTTATTTGTGCGCCAAACTTCATTTTCCATACTGGGTTGCTCGAGTATAATTATTTTAAGTTTAAGCACTTATTTAAAACTTTTACAAGAGTTATGAAGACTTTTGAAGAACAGACAAAATAATTGTGCAATATTGAGATATTAAATACAGTGACAGTTGATAAGGGAATATATATATTAACCGCTTACTCTGGACAATAGCCCACATAAAGTGAGTTCCAGTAACCTCACTCACCAGATGAAACGTAGAAGTGGAACACTTCCACTTCATGCCGGTGTTCTATGAAGTCTTGGTACCTCTCCAAGCTGCCCATTCGTACAAAAGTGAAGACTGACCCTACCTCAGTAAAAAGAAGGTGGCTTTTGACGACGACTTTATCTTTTATAATTTTCGGAAACTTCCAGATGGCGTTTGTCATGCTGGCTGCGACGTGGCTGAGCCCTATCACAATTTCATACGCGCCGATATTCATGGGCTGGTATACAACGAAGGAGTACATCCAGACGCGGGAGCTGAACCAGTGCGAGTTTAAGGTCAACAAGCCGTATGCTGTGATCTCGAGTTCGATTTCCTTCTGGATACCCTGCACTATCATGATATTCACTTACCTAGCTATATTCAAAGAAGCGAACAGACAGGAGAAAGCTCTGCACGCGAGAGCGGGCAACGCAATGCTGATGCATCGCCACTCGCGTGAGGTCGGCGACAAGAACGGCGCGCTCCACATAAACGCTAATACTCCAACCAAAGACAGGAACATACTGAAGATGAAACGCGAGCACAAAGCGGCGAGGACCCTGGGTATCATCATGGGTGCCTTCATACTCTGCTGGCTGCCGTTTTTCCTCTTTTATGTGTCAACCTCGCTATGCGACACGTGCGAGTACCCTGAGGTGGTCACCGTCATAATGTTCTGGACCGGCTATTTTAATTCGGCTCTCAATCCGATCATATACGCGTACTTCAATCGCGACTTCCGCAATGCGTTTAAGAACACGCTGGCGTGCGCTTTCTGCAGTTTTTGTCGGCGCAGCGCTTCTGACCTGGATGCGATGGAGCGGCTGGAGAGGCGAGGCTCCGCGCAGCTCAGGGTACCAGTGCCCTCGAGAAGAGCTTCTGACCTCGCGTCACTTTGAACCAAGAAGGGCTCTGGTAGCCTTAGTTTCGTTTCAACGAAATAACACAGTACTTACTCTCCCACCCCTTGCCTCAGTGAGTATGATCAGTGAATACATTCTTGCAGTTTTTCTCATATTCCTTGGTGTTTTTCTAAGACGGTTAAGGTTTTTGACTTTTACCGTGCGGTGTTTAAACAAGTTAGCATTAATAAACTAAAGTTAGGTCATGTGATCGAAGCGCCAACGAAGCAACCTTCAAGAGTTCGAAAACAGTTCTGGAACGGAAAAAATTGTGGTGAAATAATAAATTTCCGTAAATAAAAAACTATTCTGTAACTGTCAAACACTGATTGATTGTAAATTTAATAGAAACCAGTATTACGTACTAACTTTTTAGTCATTGTACCCATTGTATTACGAATTCGTTTGATGTATTTGAAAGCAAAAGATTTCAAATCACAAAAATAAATAATATTAGCGTGTAAGTGTCAGTGATAGTACATAATGTAAATATTTATTTGTATAAGTATGATAGGATAATGCGGGTCAATATTTTATAGGCCTAATATTTCGGGCACTCCTAACGATAATAAAATATTATTATCTGTGTGTATGTAATGTATAGACAATTAATTAAGTAAAATAAGAAGCACTTGTCAACATCTTTGCCAAACGCATTCAATTAACGGTGTTTTAACATAATTCCACATATATATATCCCATATATATATCCTCATATATATGTATATAATGAATGAATCTTTTGGAGGGATATATATATATCCATATATATATCCCTCCAAAAGATTCAGCTGACTTCTATTAAATTATTCTCAAGATACTTCATGTTTTTCTAATCAAACTAAAATTAGCATTAGCAATAATTTTGCGAAAAATTTAAGTGCTCATATAAGCTATTGTTAATCGTTAGTTGCAATGAATACGTACGAAATTTCAATATGTAATAAATTTTGTGACTAATATCTATAATAATCAGCGGACTGTTTTATATAGCTCACTTATTATCTTTAAAACCAAAAGTTAGCAATTATCGAATAATTTAGTCAAAGTTAATTACCATAATATATATTACCAAATATAAAGGACGGAGGATATTAACATTAAGTAATTTGTAAATATTTGAATAATTGTAGAAAATAAATAGTTGTTCTTTTTTATATTTTATTAATTTTCTATACGATCACTTTGCGCCTAATCATAAACCCACTTTTATATGCTTAATTCGGTAAAGATCCATAAATTATGTTAGCATTTTCATTTTACACAAAGTGTGCTAGTTTAAAACTTTAAATTATAATTTATTTAAAAGTCTTTACCCATTGGTAGTCATTAAAGTCGCATATTTATTAATTAATTTTAAATACGGTAGGATATAAATTATAATTATAAGTTAGTAATACGTCACGTATTTAAAATGTTTCGTTTTAACATATACATATAGGAAGATATTATGATAAAGATATGGGGACAAATAACGCTTCAATAGAAAAAATTAAAATATATATCGATGTGCTACGATTTAATGTAACAGACCCGTTAGATTTGGTGTGTCGGTGTTGTGAAATAAACTTTATATAGTCGTAATAAATATACTACTAACCAGGGTTTCCCGAACTATTTGACGCTGGTAATGAGTATTTGTTTAATGACCGATTAAAACAGGCTTAAAATTGTACATTTTCTAAGATAATTTCGAGTGAATATTAAAGATTTCACACAAATTTTATATTAATATCTCCCAGAGCATTAGTTTATTATCTCTTAAACTGGCACAACCCCAATTATAAGCATGTGTTCCCGAATTTGAGTTTGGAAAGTGTTGGTCCATTTCAGAATATGTTTGGGAAGCCCTAACCTTCGTAAGTATTCGCGTTGTAGTTATGAAAGGATATTGAGTTTGAGTTTAAATTTGACAAATATCGACAGGAACACAATTAATATGAACGAGACATACGTTTAAAAAAAAAAAAGGATTGACAGGATTAATATTGAACTGAGAATGATATATATATATATATATATATATATATGATATATATGCTAAAATTACAAGCAAAAAATATTGGAGTGTTGAATTACAGATTTGTTGAAAGACAAGATTTAAACAAAGTTCTACGCTTTCTAAGAAAAAGCTGAAAGAAGTAAACGTAAAAAATAAAACCTCTAATGTTCAATTTCCACCAAATTCATTCTATAAATTCGTGATAATGTTACAAACATAACTATTGCCCCGCACTATTCGACTATTTTTATTTTTACCAGTTAATGTGCGTTCAATTGTTTAATCTGTCCGATTAATAATTTGGATATGGAACATCGTTCAAAATTACAACGCGAACAAAACACCTTTGCTTCTATTGATACACTAAGCTGTAAACGTGAAATACAAATATTTGTCTTTGTGTCGCTCATTAACTCAAACTAAACTGTGGTCTTAGACTCTGTAATCGTCGTATAGAAATTGTATAAATCATGATCTCTACTTCTGTTCCTATCACATCTTTGATACTATCATATTCGTCCTTGTTAAGAGAACATGATAGAACTTAGGCAACGACCTAGAACCTCTTTTACTATTGGAAATATTTTGGTCTTGTAAATTCAACGTGTCTTCCTCTTGAGTAAGATTTTAGGGCTCAATATCGAATAATTGTTAGACGTAAAATAGACAAGGTAGTGTGTCAGTGACATTGAAACATATGTCATTGTAGCTTAATTTTGTGTCTGTGTCAATGTACCCGGTATTAACTTAATGTTTGCTGCGTACCACGGGTGCGGAAGTGCTGAAATTAAAAAAAAAAGTAATAATAAATGGTTGTGAATTCATTAGACATTACAACTAACGAAATAACGAATAGTGAAAAATAATATGTTTATTTAGAAATCATTGAGTTTCTCATTTCGTTAGTAGCAAGTTACGAGGAAATCTTTTTTGAATATCGTTTTGAGTTTTTTCCATTTCTCGTTTCTGCTGAATTTCTCTCGATTTCAATTCACTCCTTGGTTATTTTATATCCGTCCATTTTTTTATTACTCTCTTGTTAACTTAATTTCGTAACTGATGTATTTATTCGATATGGATTTGTAGCTTGCGATCTTGTAGCGTGAAAATTAATGTTTTCCATTTGTATACAATGACTTATATTGTAAGGAAATATAGTCGATCGTGTTGTTATTAGCTATTAATTTCATCAGTTACCTTCGGTGTAGTACACAATAAAAAGCAATACGTAATTATAACAAAACAACATAAGTGTATCGGCTAGAGTTAAACTAAGAACTGTAGTATTTCTTATTATTTGATCAAAATCTCTTATTGATAAAATATTTTGTGCTATAGAAGACATTTCAAAATATTCACATTCTTTCTTTTTACGATTGGGTTAGATTTTAGGCTCAAAGGTTTCATGAACTTGACCGTTCGATACGATTCTTAGCATTATTTGCATCCTTTGCGGACTGTGATAGTTGTTAGGGATTTTTTAAATAATTTATTAAGTTATTGTTCATTTTTTAAATGTTCCGTGAAGGTTTTATTTTTTCTGTTATAGCTAATTATTTTCATGTTATTTGATCATAGTTTTATTTGTTATTAATTTAAGATGAAAATAGTCGGTTGTCACCATCTCCAATGTTGTAAATATTGTTTCAATTGTCATTATTTAATGTTATGTTGTTTTTAACGCGACATTATTGATACGTATCTCTATATGTAATTGTAATTTAGTTATAATAGGTATATTTTAAATTGATTGAAAAAATAATAATTGCATGGTGAGATTATAATTTTTAGGTCTTTACCTAATCAAAAATGTGCGTGTAATCAAAATGCTTTTTGCAAAATAAAGAAAATGTTTCTTAAATTGAATTGGTTTTATTGCTTGTCTTTCCGTCGTTACTGCGACGCTATTCATTTACGTAAAAAATATTATGTGCATTCGATGTATAATAAAGAAAACATTTATTGCATTATTAAGCCACACGTACATTTAAACCGCAAACATAAAAAATACATAGTAAAAAGAAGAGAAAAAAAATTTTAAGCATCACAAATTTTACACACACACTTGTGTGTTGCGTATACGGCAAACAGAGCTTAATGCTGCAGTCGATACGAGACTACAGCGCTGGTTCTCAGTGGGCCTGTGAATTAAGTGACAAACGGACGTCCACACCGTCAATGGTGGACTAATAATAATAAACATAGAGTACATAAATGAAGTAATATGTATAATATGTGTATAATCTACTACTGATTCCAAGTTACAATAGAGACCTTACTGTGGTAGGGCAACGTGACAAACAGGCTCTGCTAGTTTAAGAATGTGCAGGCTCGTTAGGGTGACTAACAAGGCCTCACAGAAGACCAGTAAGCGAAGTAGAAGAATTATGTTTCGTGCTTCATCTGGAGTGAGGAAACTAGGATCAACTTTAAAAAATATGGATGTCCATGAGCGATGGTTATCACTTAATATCAGGTGACAACTATTCACAAAACGAATGGAGTCTGTACACATAAGATCAGACAAATAAATAATGATGTAACAACTGAGTTATTTACGCCATGTTTTATTTCACATAAAACAGTGTTTTTTTTTGGAGATCACTATATACTTTTGGTTATAAATATTTAAAATTGATATATGTGAGACCAACTACGATGTTGATTTTGCATCTTTCAACCCAAAATTTTATAGCTTAATGATTTTAAAGAAATGTCTCTTTCACAATGTACTACACTCTAGCACAAACCAATATTAAACCAGCCATATAAAAGATAAAAAAGCCACATAAAAGACAAAAAAAGTTTAAGACAAGACGAAGCGATAAATGGAATATTGCATATTGATACATCTCTTAACACAATTTGTGCAGACTCTGCGTTTAATCGATTAGAAAATAATCAATTGCCATTGCGTGATATCCATAAAATGTCAGATAGCTGAAAGCCCTCCAGCAATTTATATTTGACGACATAGACCGCTCATTGACAC